AGGCTTCAGTCAGCGAGAGGGAGTTGACTTCTTCCAGACCTTCTCCCCGACCCCAAAGATGACCACTCTTCGGGTTCTGCTGCACGTTGCCGCTCAGCGTGACTACGAGCTCCACTCGCTTGACTTCAGCACTGCTTTCCTACAGGGCAGCCTGCACGAGGAGATCTGGCTGCGCCGTCCACCTGGCTTCACTGGGTCGTTCCCTCCTGGTACCCAGTGGAGCCTCGGACGGCCAGTCTACGGTCTCCGCCAAGCCCCACGTGAGTGGCACGACACACTGAGGACTACAGTTGCGGCTCTTGGGTTCGCGCCTTCTACTGCTGACCCGTCGCTGTTTCTACGCACCGACACCTCACTGCCGCCGTTCTACGTCCTCGTGTACGTTGACGACTTGGTCTTTGCCACTGCTGACACTGCTGGACTCGCCCACCTGAAGTCCGAGCTGCAGAAGAGACACACGTGCACAGACCTGGGTGAACTGACAAGCTATATTGGCTTGCGGATCACCCGGGACAGAGCACGCTGCACCATCACCTTGACTCAGTCACACATGGTGCAGCAGGTCCTTCAGCGCTTCCGCTTCACGTACTCCTCGCCTCTGCCCACTCCTCTGCCTACCGGTCACTCGCTCTCAGCTCTGCCTTCGGATGAGTTCGTAGAGCCGAGTGGCCTGTATCCAGAGCTTGTGGGTTGCCTCATGTATCTGATGACCTGCACTTGACCTGACCTTGCATACCCTCTTAGCATTCTTGCACGCTATGTCGCTCTCGGACGTCACCGGAAGGAGCACATGGATGTAGCCAAGAGGGTGTTGCACTACTTGTGCAGTACGTCGGGCATGGGGCTAGTGCTTGGAGGGCAAGTCCCAGTTGTTCTCATTGGCATTCAGACGCTTCTTGGGCAGACGACCAGGCTACTCTGCGGTCGTCTCATCGTTACTCCTTCAGTCTTGGCTCTGGTTTAGTTTTTGGCGTTCTACTCGCTCTTCTTCTATTCTCAGCTCCAGTTGTGAGGTTGAGACCTACGCCACAGCCATGGCGGCCCAGGAGCTACGCTGGCTCACGTACTTGCTGACCGACCTTGGAGAGCAGCCTCGTTCTCCTCCAGTGCTGTACGTCGACAACAAGGCAGCCATTGCCTTGTGTGAGGAGCACAGACTGGAGCACAGAACAAAGCACATTGCTGTGCGCTACTTCCTTGCTCGAGAGCTGCAGCAGCGTGGTCAGCTTCGTCTGTGTACGTGGCCTCTGAGGCCAACACTGCTGATGTGTTCACCAAGGCGCTTCAGCCTTGTGACCATCAGCGCTTTTGCACTCTTCTAGGCCTTGTGCCTACTGTACCTCATTTGCTTACTTCTTGAGTCTGTTTGTACTGTGATCTCTATATATATGTCCCTGCATGTTTACTCTTGCTAGGTTGTGATCATTGTACCGCTTGTTCTATTATAAACGTGCATGTGAACTGGTCTTGTGACCACTTGCTTGTGCTCGGAATTTGTGTTGTATCCTTGAAATCCACCCTGAGCTTGTTTTGCCTTGCTTTGCTTTGACTGGTCTTGTGACCCCTAGTTCTCCCCACTTCGCCTATGGGGGTGTGAAAAACATTATATATGTTGTTGTGCTTGTTTAGGCTACAGTGGGTTAGCCTGTAGGGGGTACACAATTCTAGGGTTAGGTATTTGTTATGTTTTCACTCTTAGTTCATTCATTCTTGTTCAGTTGTTCCAACAATGGGGTTCGCCGCTACAGTACCCCTGCAAACACGGACTGGATGCTGGAGGCTTGGGTAAGTTTGGTTTCAGCTCATGTCGCGTTTGACAAGACCGTCGAAACGTAGGATCCAATTCAGATTTCCATCACTTTCTCATTCACTGTGGCAGGATAGGGTGCAGAAGTATGGCATAGTGATAGCGCTCATTCTGTTCCCGGACTAGACCAATCTATCACATAACGGGCGCCAATCCGCCCACCCATTTCTTTTGTCTTTTGGGAACATTCAGGAATGGGCTAGGTGGCTCGAAGGAGGCACTGAGCTTCTCGGGCTTCTGCCTAATATCCCAGCTGACCTCTCGCCGGAAGAAAAGGTTTGAGTGTTCCAGCGCGCTGCAGAGATCATGATTAAAGATTTAAAGGCGGCTTCACATCTGAAAGGGTGAGTCAACACTACTGTCACCCAAAGGCGCGCATCCCTAGTAATCTCCGTCATCGTACTACGTTTTCTCCCTCATCCCTATTTATAATCCTCCCACCCTGCTGTTTCTATCATTAGCCGGTTGGTTTGGTCAAACCAACCACTCCATCACGTTTCCACCCCACTACCCTTCTGATATTCTTTCCCTGAGGCATACCCTCTCCGCTCGCTTTGTTGACCCTTGTTCACATCTGGTCCTCCTTCGAATGCGTGCCACAACGCTGTATTCAGTCATAACTTTGCTTTGCCACCATCTCATGCCGTTAATGCCTTCCCTACTTGCTGTCCCCATCTTCCTAACCGTTCTTCATCTGCTTGCTTAGGGCCGCCCATGCTCACTCCGTTACTCCCATCTCCGACGTGTTATCCCATCATCCCCCCTCTACCTCCCTGTTTCCCCCTTCATCCTTGGCGGCTGTGCAGGGGCGGGGTGATGGTGGAAGACAGTGCCGGTGTGCAATATAGAGCATTCACGCTTCTATATTCATGGGTGACAGATCACCCGAAGTCTTCTAAGGTCACTTGCACGATGGCATGCAACTCGCTCCATCCGTGCTCGTTGTGCTTGGCTGATAAGGAGCACCTCGATGCGATGACGTTTGAGTTGACTCAAACGCCCCCTGATAAGGAGTGCCTGGAAGAGCAAGAAGACACTATTGTCCTCAGAACTGTCAAGAGTCAGAAGGATGCGTACAAGGAGATGGAATCAGCAAAGATCAAGAAGAAGCTGAAGGCGGTGAAGAAGAAGACCTCTACTCACTTTGTGAAGGTAACCCTTGCATAGCTTGTTCCGCATGCATTGCCGCGCATCTCATCTGGTTTCCCTCAATCCACACCATATACTGCACTGGCTAGTGTGCATGGGAACCTACTCCAATCCGCAGCCAGCTGTTTGTGTTTATTACCCCGACCCGCCATAGTGACTCTGTGTCCTTGACCCACAACGCAGAGCCTTTTGTGGGACTGGGAATTCGCAAAGACTCTCTGGGGCAATACGTACCTCGCTGTCCCCCCGGACATCATGCACATATGGGAGCAAGGCATATGGCTGCATGCCATGAAGTGCCTTGTGAATAAGCTGACTCCAAAAGAACGGAAGATTCTTCTGGAGTGAGTTGTTCCGCGCCATGCTGAACCGTTCCTCCCCTCCTTGCCTGCTTTCCACGCCATGCTGAACCGTTCCTCCCCTCCTTGCTTGCTTTCCGCGCCATGCTGAACCGTTCCTCCCCTCCTTGCTTTCTTTCCGTGCCATGCTGAACCGTTCCTGCCCTCCTTGCTTGCATTTTCCACCATGCTGAACCGTTCCTTCTCTCTAGGCAATACAAGATTTTGAAGGAGGGCACACCAGCTTCCGTGCTCCGTCTGCCTTCGGCGTGGGCCTACTTTACATCCACTGCCTCTTTTTCAGCTTCAGAGCATCGTGCGATGATGCAGGTCTTGCCTCTCATAATCGATCTCCCAAGACGGAAAGATGTCCGGACGGCAATCGTGCTCATGGTCGAGTGGTACAAGGAGTTTATTCGCGCTGAGTACCACCATCACGTTGTTACTCTTGTTGTTGTGTGGGCTCCCAAGCCGTTCATTGCCACATACACCCATTTTCCTCGCATCAACCGTACCTACATGCTCTTCCCCCCCCCCCCCCCCCCCCCCCCAACCCCTTCCCTTTCATCTTGTTTTGACCCTTTGCATCCATGTTCTTCCATACCCCACCTGCTTAACTACCCTAAACCCTTTTTTTTCCCTTGACTGCATGATTCCTCACCCCCCCTCCCTCGTGTCGTTTCTCCCTTCCTGGCCTGCATTCCACCCCTTAACTGCATGCATGCTCTCGACTGTCTCTCCCCAGCATGGTGAAGGCTTCACGTGTTGCATTTCCTAAGCAGAAGTCAAAGTGGAAAATAGTGAAAATTCATCTCCTTGTCCACCTCCCGTCAACCATCCGTCTTCGGGGAATCCCCGCAGAGTACTCGTCGAACTGTTTGAGCACTCCCACAAGACCACTGTGAAGCGTCCTTCACGTGGCACGAATTGGAAGAATGTCGAAGATCGCATCGTTCGGAAACACATGGAGCACGCGGTAGTTAGACAACTAGCGCGGGAGGCCGGCGGGGACAGCACGTACGAGACTTCGATGAAAGAGGTGATTCTTTTAAACCTGCAATGTCCCCCCTGCTCTGTACCCTTGCACACTCTCGTCTGCTTTGTTTCCCTGTTTTATTCCTATGCTCTGCTCTCCTACTCTGACTCACTACATGGCTGCCCTGCTCTGTTCTCTTGCTCTGTTCCACTTTTCTGTTCCCTTGCTCTGTTTCCCTGCTCTGTTTCCCTTCTCAGCTCTCTTGCTCTCTTCTCCTGCTCTGTTCCCCTAGTCCGTTCCCCTTTTCTGTACCCTTTTCTGTTTCCATGCTCTGTTCTCAGCACTGTTTCCATGCTATGTTCACTGATGTGTCTGCATGAGTTGGCAATCAGATGCGGGACCAACCTAACCAAAGTAACCGACTCCTACCCTCCATCCTCGTCTTCGTCCCCACAAACTCGCCCCCGTTCCCCCCCCCTCATTCCCCCCTGGTCCCTAGCCCTCTCCTTCGCCTCCCCCGCATCAATCCCCTCCCCCACCCTCTCTTCCACCCTCCAAATGCCCACACCATTCACCCCACCCCCTCCCTATACCAACCCTCTCATCTTCACGGTGACAGGCACGCCTGGCTGGCCGGAGGGCACTTACTAAGACCCACAAGAAGATGGTCATTGGAGACATCACCGACTCGGTGTTCCGGAGCTACGTCTTGACGCTGGGTGAACCCGCCATGAGTGCAATGGTTCTGCGCCTCAAACAGGCGGGCATCAACACGCAAGTCTTGCAGGTGCATTCCCCTCTCCTGCTTGCATTCCACCCCATCCACCCCTGGTTCCCCCTCTCCTGCTTGCTTTCCACCCCATCCGCCCCTGGTTCCCCATCCCTTGCTTGCTTTCCACCCCATCCGCCCCTGGTTCCCCCTCTCCTGCCTGCTTTCCACCCCATCCACCCCTGGTTCCCCCTCTCCTGCTTGCGTTCCACCCCATCCGCCCCTGGTTCCCCCTCTCCTGCTTGCTTTCCACCCCATCCGCCCCTGGTTCCCTCTCTCCTGCTTGCTTTCCACCCCATCCGCCCCTGGTTCCCTCTCTCCTGCTTGCTTTCCACCCCATCCGCCCCTGGTTCCCTCTCTCCTGCTTGCTTTCCACCCCATCCGCCCCTGGTTCCCCCTCTCCTGCTTGATTTCCACCCCATCCGCCCCTGGTTCCCCCTCTCCTGCTTGCTTTCCACCCCATCCACCCCTGGTTCCCCCTCTCCTGCTTGCTTTCCACCCCATCCGCCCCTGGTTCCCCCTCTCCTGCTTGCTTTCCACCCCATCCGCCCCTGCTTCCCCCTCTCCTGCTTGCTTTCCACCCCATCCGCCCCTGCTTCCCCCTCTCCTGCTTGCTTTCCACCCCATCCACCCCTGGTTCCCCCTCTCCTGCTTGCTTTCCACCCCATCCGCCCCTGGTTCCCCCTCTCCTGCTTGCTTTCCACCCCATCCGCCCCTGGTTCCCCCTCTCCTGCTTGCTTTCCACCCCATCCGCCCCTGGTTCCCCCTCTCCTGCTTGCTTTCCACCCCATCCGCCCCTGGTTCCTTCTCTCCTGCTTGCTTTCCACCCCATCCGCCCCTGCTTCCCCCTCTCCTGCTTCCTTTCCACCCCATCCGCCCCTGGTTCCCCCTCTCCTGCTTGCTTTCCACCCCATCCGCCCCTGGTTCCCTCTCTCCTGCTTGCTTTCCACCCCATCCACCCCTGGCTCCCTCTCTCCTGCTTGCTTTCCACCCCATCCGCCCCTGGTTCCCCCTCTCCTGGTTGCTTTCCACCCCATCCGCCCCTGGTTCCCCCTCTCCTGCTTGCTTTCCACCCCATCCACCCCTGGTTCCCCCTCTCCTGCTTGCTTTCCACCCCATCCGCCCCTGGTTCCCCCTCTCCAGACTGCTGTCCATGCAAACCCTGGCCATACCCCATTTCCCGTATGCTCTCCACCCCCTCTTTCGCTGCTTTCCCTTTTTCTTTGTTGAATGCTCGTGGTGACAGGTGCACACGGCACTTGCGATCCCGCCACACGATAAGATGGAATGGACGTCAAGGGGGCAGTTCGTCAAGGCTAGCCCAGCCCAGCAAAACTTCTCGTCGATTGCGATCAACCCTGCAGGGAAGGGATCCCTGTGGTATGGCCGTCGCCTTGTGCTGTCTCATTACAACAAGGGTGGTGAGCTGAGGCGAGGCGCATATGTGGAGTACTACACCGAAGACAAGCGACAATGCCCGTTGACGGGATGCAAGCGTCTTTTACCCACAGAGGGCGTTGATAATTATGCGGTGATCGATGTAGACTGCATTCTTAGTCTCGTGCACATTGTACCCTCTTGCGAGGACGATGAAGTGAGGCTCCTCAACAGATTTGTATGGTGAGGCCTTTGACCCAATGTGACTGTGGTAAACGTTGATTTTGAACCTAGAATATTGATATTTTTAGGCATTTCTTTAATCTAATAGGTGCAAAATCAATAACCATTGGTTAAATATGACACTTGGAAACCCATGTTCTTAATGGGATTTACAAATTCAAGAAACAATCTTCAAAGGCTTTGCTGTAACAAACAATGCACAGAAGTAAAAAGGAGACATTTATATCGAGAACAGGTTTACAACACAAATCTTCCAAGCGAGGAGACCAGCTCCAACCCCTCTTAGTCGCGAAACCCTAATGCTGCAGCAACAGGCAAGAAACATTGAGCGGAAACATACGAATAGTGTCTCCAAAACGTCTCAACAGGGACAAACGATTTTTGTAGGTTTTCTATACGTTTTTCAAACGATTGTCAAACATACGATCGACCTGCGGGAACGGCAGATGATTTTCAAACACACACATTTTTGTGATGGCCCTCCTCGCCCCTGGACCACGCCATCTCCCCCTCCATCCCTGCTCTCGCAGTCGGGTGGCCCCATGCCCGCTCCCTATGTGGTCACTGCGCCCTCCGCCTCTCCTCAAACAACGCGTTACAGGGCTGGGCAGTGGCAGCAACAGTGGCAGGTGTGGTGAAGAGATATGCCTGTCAATTACGCACCAGTCGCAAAAGGTTCTCCTTGCATGGCAGATTACCACTCTTCTGCCACCACCCTTCCTTCTCTTTCCCCTTCCCTTCACCGAGGGCTGTGGCGTTCCCAACACCGTCGCTGTAGCCTCCTCCCCCGCCCCGCGTCCCGCAACAACTTCTCCGAGCAAGGGGAGGGCGAGAGGGCACGGGAGGTGGCGACCACGGCGAAGAGAAGTGGGGGCGAGAGGGCACGGCGGTGGCTGATGGACGAGCTGGGGGCGCTGGGCGTGGACAGCGGGGAAGAGAAGTGGGTGAGGTGGAGAGTGGGGGTGGGTGAGGTCCGTTCTGTGAGAATGATGGGGAGGGGGAAGGGGAGAGCGCAATGGAGAAGGGTGCGTGGGGCCGGTGTGCACGAGTGAGCGGGCTGGAGAGGCGCGTCCATGCTGCTGGTGCAGCTGAAGCTGCTGCTTGTGTGAGCATCGGTGCCTCGCCCCCCCAGCCCAGCTTGCGGCAGCTTCGTCTGCGCGCGGTGGGCAGACAGGCAGCCGGCGCAGTGGAGCGGCAGGGTGAATTGAGGGCAGGCAGAGTGAGGAGCGAGAGGCAGGTAGCGTGGGGTTAGCAGGGAGTTTGGGCGAGGGGAACGCGCATACTGGCGGGCGGCGGCCGTGGTGGTGCGGATGGTGGCAGGCTGTGTCCAGCACGTTGCTTCAATGACCGCCCTCCCTCGCTCTTTGGGTATGCTTTGCACATGCGTGCCCGCTGTGACTGTCCCCCACGACATGCCATCCGACACCACGTCTCTGCTTCTCACATTCGTCCCACCAGCTCCTCGCCTCTCCTCTTTCTCCCCCCGCTGCCCATGCCAGGCCCCTCACCCCAGCCCCTCCTCCGCACGCCTCGCCTTGCCTCCCCTACTCCTCCTCAGCACCAACTCCTCTGCTGAGCGACCCCAAAGGGACGACTTGGGGGCAGCATGGGCGAGAGCAGTTGTGGAAACACAGGCGGAGCAGAGGTGGGAGCATGCGAAGGGGTGGGGAGGGGAAGGGGGGTTTGGGGGACCTTGGGTCAGAACATGGGAGGGAGCATGAGCGGCAGTTTCATTGATACGAACATGAGCGGAGGAGGTGGGATAGCAGGGCCAGGGAGACAAGGTCACCCAAGCATGGAGGGAGTGCGGCGGCCACAAGCAGGAACAGGCAGCATAGGTAGCACACGCAGCACGGGCAGCATAGGCAGGAGGAGCGCGAGCATGGATGTGTCACGCCGTTGCTGGCAGTCAATGCCATTCTCACTCACAGACGCCTCCTCCTCCCTGGGCTTCCCGCAGCACCGGCAGCATGGCAGTGCCGCAGTGCCTACAATGGTGGCGGCGGTGGCATGGTGGGCAGCAGTGTGGAGTGCAGTCACAGCATCAGCGTGGTGATGGGGCGGCACAGCCTTGACAGCAGCGGCAGCGGCGTGATGCTGCAGAGAATGACTGGGCAGCTGTGGCAGGGTGGAATGGGGACTTTTTCAGGAGACTTACGCGCGTTAAGCAGCACAAAAAAATCCCCATCGAACGAAATTAATCACCTCTTTTCCCGGTGTGATGCCATCAGCTACCCGATGTCCCTAGCTCTCCTCCCTCATTTCTCCCACTGCCTTCCCCTTCGCACACCGACAGCATTATACATGGACATACAAACCGAGTTACGAGATTGATTTTCTTTCGGGACACAACTCGACCAAGTCGAGTTAAGCAAAACTCGCGATTTCAAGAAGATGCGCTCACGGCCACATTTGGCATGGTTGGGGGGGTTGCTGTGGCGGCGGAAGGCATTGGGAAGGTGTGGGGTGAGCAAGGGGGCGACGTGGAGTGGGATAGGGTAGAAGAGGGCGTGGTGACTTTACGTCTGTACAGGATTTAGGGTTGCCAGGGCGAGGTGGAAGGGGAGAGGGTTGGGGGGAATGGGGTGTCTCTGCAGCAGAGATTGACTTTTGCATGATGACGTAATCCAAAATCTGATTTTTTCGCAAACCGCACCCCATCCCCCTTCTCCATGTACCCACCCCTCCTCCATTGCAACTCGGAAAATTTTGTTACGTCCGAGTCGAACCTGGGCCGTTTCGATATGGGTTCACTCAGGGCACCTAAGTTAAAAAATACGCTTAGGACACTGTGCGTTTAGCGGATATACGCTAGCGTTTATACGCTAAACGCAAGCTAGTACGCTATACGCTTGCCAATTGTTTTTGGGGCAGCCCGACCGAAAAAAATGTGAATATACGAAAAGATGCGGGATTGCATGACAAGCATTTTGCCACCGTCAAATTCACATCCGCGATTTGTGCAAGAGTGAACGGCAATTTCCGTGCTGATCGGCAATTTCCCTTCCCTGCAGATCCGCGCAGATTGAAGGTTCTTCCCGCAGAAGGGAGGGGGGGAAAGACGCTCCCTATATCAACGTCATGTAGATCTGGACTGGAAGTCATGTGACGACTGTACAAATTCCAAATATCAAATTGGTTGGATGAGATAGATGCAATGCGGTGAAGATAGGTGATGGGAGGGGGAACTGGTTGGAGGCAATATTGGCGATGGGTGTGGGGCACGAATTCCGTGCAGTGGGTCACTCGCTGGCTCGCAGGAGTGAACTGGCGAACCCCCGCATCCTGCAGGTCAGCACCACTTACCAAGTTTGTAGAAAATGAGGGGAAGTAAAGACCAAACAGGTTGCCAGAGGGGGCCGCCGGACACGGGAGGACAGTGGAGAAGTGAGCAAGGACAGGACCCCCAGAGGGGTCTGCCTGAGAGACTGCAACTGGCCGACCAAGCGGCGTCAGTGTGGTGCGGTCTTGAAAGAAGGAGCGAGAAGCCCCCGAGTCAAGGGTGAAGGTGTGGGAGGCCAAAGCCGACGCAGTACCTGATAGAGCAGACTCACCAGCACCTGAAGAAGTAGACGCACTGGCACGTAGAGCAGCAGCCTCGCTAGCACCTAGAGCAGCAGCCTCACCAGTACCTAGAGCAGCAGTCCCAATGCCCGTGTCAGGCGGAAAACACCAGTAACAGTCACCCTCATCAGTAATAGTCACAGCATACATGGCAGCAAGAATAGCATCAAAGTCAAGGTCAAAGATAGCTACTCCCGCCCTAGACAGCTCGCCCCAGCGAGGGATCTCAGTGGCCTCAAGGAACTGGTGACGCCAGGTGTCCGTCAGGCAGCCAACGCAGCGCTGGGTGGAGTGCGCACCCCCGCACGGCTCACTCGCCGGTGCGTAGGACGTAGGTGCACGGACCAGTACCCCCACCCCGCTGGCGTGCAGTGTACTACTCACGAAGCTGCTGAGGGGGGGGGGGGGGGGGGGGAACTCACGAGTGCGCTGCTGCTGCTGCTGATGCTGCTGGCGCTGACCACCACCGGAGCCGACCCTTTGCGCAGCGCCACCCCGACCAGCTCCACCTCCTCCGCTGCCGCCTCCTCCACCGCCGCCACCTCCGCCACCGCCGCTCCCACCGCCACCGCCGCCCCCGCCTCCGCCTCCACTGCCGCCACCAACGCCCCCACCCCCGGCACCACTCCCACCGCCACCCCCACCCCCTCCGCCGCCTCCACCACCGCCTCCACCGCCCCCGCTGGCTCCTCTAACGCCCCTGCCCCCCTTGCCCTTGCCAGTGCGACGTCTCTCGCTAGGGGCAGACGCTGCACCGACCGACTCAAGACCAACAAGGTCAGCCGAAGTAGTAGAGGCAACAGAGGGCAAGAGAGGAGAGGGGGAGCACCCCTCAAAGACAGGGGCACGAGGGTCACCAAGAGAGGCTCCTACAGCGACTATGCTCTTCTCCGCTGCTAGGAGGCGCTCCTCGAGGAGGTCAACGGTGAGGGTGGTGGGGCAAACGGAGAGAAAGTGGTCCCTGACCAGGCGAAGGGTGTCAGGGAGGCGGGTGACTATGTAGTAGAGGGTGATGTACATAAGAGGGGGGGGGTTCTTGGCGCAGAACTCAGCGGGAAGGGCAGCGTGGTAGCGAATGTCACTAGTGCGAAGGTGTGTAATGAGGTCAGCGACTGCGGGAAAAGCTGCGAGGTCAGGGAAGAGGTACGGCAAGATGAGGCGGCTAAGTGCAGCAGTGGCAAGGGAAGAGTAGCGTGCAACTACACCGTCGTACAAGGTCTTAGCACTCTTGTACTGGCTAAAGTGCGCACGCTCAGAGGTAGGCAAGTGGCGACGCACAGCAAGACGTGCAGCAGCATCGCGCGTGGCCCACTGAGAGCGAATAGTGGCGTCAGCATCAGCAGCAGGGGCAGGAGAGGCACCAAAAGTGAGGTCAAAGAGGGAGAGACCGTCTGCCCTATCGCACTGTAGGAAAAGCTGCAGGTCATCTACCCTCGCGTCAAAGTCAATGGCCCGACCCTCAGCGTCAAAAGCGAGGACACTTGGGGTAGCCATGACAGTAGTGGACTAGCAGCGCGAGCAGTAGGCTAAGTGCAGCGCAGTGGTAGAGGTGCCGCTCTTACCGGGCAGGCGAGAAGGACTGAGGCTCGCCGGTAGGAACAAGGCCGCGACGGTAGTGACCGGGTGTAGCAAACAGGGCGGCTAGGAAGGCTCGGCGGCTCGGCACCAACAGCAGCTCAGCGACTCGGCGACTCAGCGGCTCGGGCGGCTCGGCGGCTCGGGCGGCTTGGCTGGAACGGCGGCTCGGCAGCTCGGGCGGCACGGCTACTGCAGGTACAGTGGCAGCTGCTGCTGCAGTGACGGCGATGGTTGCCGCTGCAGGAGGCGGCGACGGCGGGCCGCTGTAGGAGGCGGCAACGGCGGCCGCTGCTTCAGGGACGGCGGCGGCGGCCGCTGCTGGAGAGACAGCGGCGGCGGCCGCTGCTCCAGGGACGGCGGCGGCCGCTGCTGTAGGGGCGGCGGCGGCGGCCGCTGCTGCAGAGACGGCGGCGGCCGCTGCTGTATGGACGGCGGCGGCGGCTGCTACTGCAGGGACGGCGGCGGCCGCTGCTGGAGGTGGCGACGGCGGGCCGCGAACGGGCCGTAGGGGGGGGGGGGGGGGGGGGGGGGGGGGGGGCAAGAGCGGCGCGAGGGGCCGTAAGGGGCCGGAAGGGCAGCGCCAGGGGCCGACAGGCAGCGCGAGGGGCAGCAAGGGCGGCGCGCGGGGCCGACGGGCGGCGCGAGGGGCCGCAAGGGCGGCGCGCGGGGCCGACGGGCGGTGTGAGGGGCCGCAAGGGCGGCGCGAGGGGCCGCAAGGGCGGCGCACGGGGCCGTAAGGGGGGCTCAAGGGGCCGTGAGAGGGGGCCGCTAAGGGCGGCGCGACGATAGGGAGGGCACTCGGGGCGTGACTCGGGCAGAAGCGAAGCGCGCTCCGGGCAGGGGAAAAAAAAAATCGAGGTGGACCCTAGAAAGCGTTCCCACTAGGGAACCTGCTCTGAAACCATGAGAAGAAAGGAGGAATGAAATGACTAAGGGAAAGTTGGGTACAAGTACAAACCCTAGAAAGCTGTACCCCGTATGTGCTACCCCATTATAGCCTACAGCAGCTAAGTCATATAAATCTGACACGTTCGGGTGGCTCGAGGGGTTGTAGCAATCCAGCTGGCGGCTGAGAGATTAGCAAGTGTGGTAATGGGGAGAGATGGAGCAAGGAGCGTTCTATGCTCTGCTTAAGGCAACCAAGACGGTAACCGTGCAAACGCTACCCATCAAGGAGGACCTGTTCATGCTATATACGGACTAGAGCAACTCGAAGGTGGGAGCAATACTATGCAAGGAGAGAGAAGGCAAGGAGAAAGTGATGGCCTTTGCCAAAAGGAGCCGTAATCTAGCCGAGGCCAGCTACAGCTCCTACAAAGGGGAGGGCCAGCTACAGGTGTGGGCAATAACATTCTACTAATTGTACTTTCAAAGAATGACAGAGCACCAGCCAGTGGCCATGCTAATTATCAACCAGGCCATGACGATGTGGCTATAGGAGTTCACCATAAGTCACCAACGAGGCAAATCAATGCAGCACGTGGATGGGTTGTAAAGGAACCTACTGCCAGCAAGGCCGACAGCATGTCTAGTAGCATTGGCCAGGGAAATTGATGGAAAGGGAGCCAGGCGTGGGCAA